AATCAACACAGCACTGCTAAGGTTTTTTTTCTTCTGTTTTTCTAAGATATAAACAGGCAGGTGTTTTTGAAATTTTGTCATGCCCTGGCAGGCCTTATAAGATGTTTATCAGGGTGGAACAGTTGCTTTTGGGTAAGGATGTTGCTATGGTTTTTCTAGAGAAGTCCTGCGGTCGCGGTGTTCTTCGTGCCAGCTGGCTGTCTATGGTCCCATGCCACACAGCCAGTCACCAGGGAGCTCCTCTGCCTGTCACAGTACAGCCACTATAGCCAGCAGCACCCACATGGTTTCTATCTACCTCATTTCAGAATTTCTCTTTCTGCATCGATGGTGTTTTCATTTACGCAGATTTTCTGTGCCTCCGCTCGCCCCCCTCCCCACTTGCTTGGTACATTCGACCTTCGTCATCACGTGAGAGTGCCATCCTATCAGTGGGTTTCTTTGAGGAAGCTACATCTTTTTGCGAAAGCCACAAGCAAGACAGGAGTATCGCACATTTTAGTTCCCTCCTGCCAGCAGAAGACTGGGTGATGGTTCAGGTCTATGGTGTATAGAAGAACTTTTATATTGCTGTGTAGGTTGGGTGTCTGACCCTGTCTGAACAGTCTAGACTGAATTTGCATTGTTTATTTAGCAGATACTTTTATCCAAAGCAATGTACCATTGAAAAAGAAGGGTCAGCTAGTCCCTGGGGTAACTGTAGTTTAGGGGTCTTGCCCAATGGTGAAATCATTTGCTGACTCTGGGATTTGAACCGGCAATCTTGCAATCATAGGCCCACTGTCCTAACCCACTGAGCCACGCACTGACTTTTAATCAAGGCTTTTGTGCAGCTGTATGTAGTTTTTTTCTCCCTCGGGAAAAGTAGGCAGAGGGTTTGTAGTTAATTCCAGTTGGTGTTGCAGGACTTGATTGTCTTGCTAGGGCCACGACTTCCCTTTAGGTGATACACTGATTGGCCTGCCTCGCTTCTACTGTGCTAACATGCATTAGTAGTGTGACTTTAAAACAGCCATTTTTCACTTCATGTCACGCAGAGAGTGTCTCCCTGCCACCCCCATTGAAGTCATGCTTCTGAATAATGGTGTCCATTAAACAGGGCTCTACGCTAACTTTTTCTTTTTCAAGGAGCACTTGTGCTCCTAAGTTAAAAAACTTAGGAGCACAGACAAAAATTTGGGTGCACAGTCAGTTCTGTTTTTTAAGCACTAAAACCAGTGCACCTAAACTTTTTTACATGTTCGCACACCGACTTTTTACTCGCATATATGCACTGTAGAGCCCTACTAATTGTATACATGTGTATACTAATAATATTGTGTCATTCTTAAAGTTCATCAGTCCACTGGGAATAATTTTATTAACAGTATCAGTGTTTCCCATAGGTTTACTGCTTGGGGGGGCAGATGGACACCGACAGGATTCATGGTGTTCATGTGTTTTCTTTTAATGACGGCAGTCAAAAAAATGCAGATATTTCTGTCTGCTTTACAGGTGGTTGATGCGACATATTTTCCGATGCGCGCTCCGCTGGTGGGAGTGTGCTCACCTGTGTGTGTGTGCGCGCACGTGTCTGTGGGTGCGCATCGGGGCGGAACTCTGGCATGCGCGATACAGAGAGCAGAGGAGAATTGTAAATGCGCGACCGTGCAGAGACAAAAATAACAAGCTGTTGTGTAAATAACATAAATAACATAAAGCTATTTAGTTTGTTTAATAAAAGGACAATGTATAGACCTGTTCTATAGGAAAGAAAACCTTAAATGACTTCTGTTGTGATCTGGCGCTATATAGAAAATAAAATAAAATTACATTGATTGACCTTCAAGGTGGGACAGGAGGTGCTGTTGGAGGGGGAGGGGTGCCCCCTAATATAATGGTAGGAGAAACACTGAGTATACACACACGCACACAGGTCATAAAACAAGGACACATACACACTCGGTATTTCTGAGAGAGTTTTAAATGTAAGCTGTGTTAAGTGTTAGCCAATACAGTGGAACCTCGGATTACGAGTAACGCGGTTTACGAGTGTTCCGCAAGACGAGCAAAGATTTTTAATTAATTTTGACTTTGAAACCGAGCAAGTCCTGGTTTACGAGCGCCAAGTATCATCAAAAATCATATGGCACACATGCGCTCCTTGTTTTTCTTGTTTTTACGTGCGTGTGCTTCTTGTTTTGATGCCGAGCGCACGTCATCACAACTGAACCAATGGTTATTCACTTTCTCACGCTGCAGAATTGTGGGTAATCGTCTCCCATGCTCGGTCTCAGTCGGCATGCCTCACTCGCATAGTGAAAATTTAGTAGAAAAGCACCACCTGAATAAGGGCGTAGCAGTGCGAGCGATGAATCTGTTTACATTTTTGCAAAATCGAAAAGGAGGCAAAAGAGGCTGTCATCGGATGGGTTCCATGTTAATGTCGCACAAACAGAAAAAGATTCCAGTGAGCCAACAGATAGCAGTGATTCCGTTAATTATAGTGAAAGTCGTCCTACAAAATAACCCTCTTCTTCTCCTCTCTCGTCTCCCTCACACCATCCACAATTCTTTTCAAAGGTAAAGCGCAGGTTAATTTGTTTTATGTATTTTTACTTTATATTTTGTATTAATAATTTTTATATGAATATTTTTGAGTTGTGGAATGGATCATATGAGTTTCCATTATTTCTAATAGGAAAATTCGCTTTGATATACGAGTGCTTTGGATTACAAGCATGTTTCCGGAACGAATTATGCTTGTAAACCAAGGTACCACTGTACCACCATTGTGTGCTGTGGATGCACTAGACAGGAAAATGGATTTTTATTTTTTGTCATTGTGGATGGAGAGCAAAGTGAGTAGCAGTTATGAATCAGCATCCCGCTTTCTTCATCTGAGTGTGGAATACGCATCAATGTCTACATGTCTGGGTTTGTTGTTCCTCTTTCTGAATGTGTGTGGGGGGTGTTATTCTCATAGCATAGTCCTAAGTGCCAATGGGTGGAGGATCTATACAAACAAGGAAGTAGGTCAGTAGCATGTTAATCTGTAGTAGATAGTTACCCTTGAGTTCATTAAGTGGGTTAAAACATTAAGCCTGTAAGTCACTTTGGGGGGATGTTCACATCACAGTCGGCTTAAACAAACAAACAGATGCAATCTTTCAGCACAGTTCGTTTCTGTGTATTTTAGCATTTAATAGCCGTTGGGCGGCTCTGTCCCTGCAGTTTCCTGTCTGTTGCTTCCTCAGGAGCTCTATGGCAGTGCTCTTGAACCTTCCCCCACTTGCTGATAAGTGTGGAAAAGGAGGCTAGTTTGGGTGTTGAGTGGTACAGGCAGGCTTATCTGCCCCTCCCGCCTCTACAGCTGCTGCATCCCTGTAACCTTGCCCCTGTGACCTCGACCCTCCGAAGGCAGCACAAATGACTCAGACTTGTGGAAACAAGAGCCGTGTCCAACGTCCTGTGGCCTTACCTCCTGCCACCAGAGGTCGTTCAGACTTTGTAGGCCTCTGGTCAGGTGACAATGTGACTGTTACACAGAGATTTGGGGGGGAGGGTGATTAGCAGTCCCCACCCCCTCCCTCTCCTGTAGGTACACTACAGGCCAGAAGTTTGGGCCCAACCTTGGATTTAAAAAAAAAAATAAATGATACACTGCATTGTCAAACATTTACTACAAGGAAATATTAGAAATACTTAAAACGGGTTTCAGTATTTTATAGCTTGTAGTAACACATTAAGTATTTCTAATATTTTCTTGCAGTGCAAGTTTGAAAAAGCAGTGTATTGTTTATTAAAAAAAATAAAAAATCGAAGGGTAGCCCAAACTTCTGGCCTGTAGTGTATTTCCTGTTTTTCCTCCTTCCGGCATGTGTGATTTTCAATGTCCATGTTTTTCCTGGATCGTGTTACAAAACGTGCTGTCTGGCGTCTGCAGCCAGACAAAAGCCTGCCTGAGCCACGTCCCGTGAGTCCCCTTGAGGATCGGTGTGGCTGTAATCAGTCCATGCCCCCAACTAGTTAAGGCCATTGCAGCACTCAGAACAGGTTTTCAGCGTGTTTGGTCAAAGGTACATTGCCATAACTAGGCCTCCCTTAAAGTGCCTTTTGGTAACGATCCTGAGCTGGGCGGCCATCGCACACTGCCACTCATATGCATCGTGATAGACTTCCTGTTTGCAAGAGATTTGTCAGAACTTTCATGTCTTTTGCTTTGCTTTCGTGTCGTCATCTCGTGTCCTCCCATCAGTCTGTCATCGCTGCAATGCCTCAGGTGATTTTCCGTGTTTGTTTCTACCCAGTTTGATCTCATTTCGATTTCTGTGCTTTGAGTGGGGTGGGAGTGATGCTATATGAAAACTGAATTGACTGTCTCTTCTTTGTTGGAATGAGTCCAGGCAGCAATCGAAGGCTTATGGTGATTCTTCCCCCCTCCAATGCATACTTACTGCTTCGGGCTCCAGTGGGGCACAATGAAGTACGGCAGTGTGACTGTCTTTTGGAGGCTCTCCAGTGGCCTCAGGAATTCCATAATCGCTCATAACTAGGGTGTTTTTTTTTTCTTTTGATCACCTTTTCAAAGTTACATTATTTTGTATAGTGGAATAATAGTGCACTTGTTTGAACTTGCCTAATTTGAAAGTCTTTGTAGCAGCTGAGGAGAAATCTTCTGGTTTGTGATGCAGGCACTGATACAATATAGATTTCATAACCGCGCAAGATGCAAACACAGGAGCTGGTTGAAACCTCTCAGGATCAGCATGTCAGGCCTGCATCGTTCTGATCCGTGCCTCTATTCCCCATAGGCAACCTCGCCACCATGCCCCGGCCCAGATGAGAGCCCCGTGATGGGCTCGTGAGAGAGACGGCAGAACGTACCCGGATAAGCGTGACAGACAGCTCGGCGCCATGGCCCGGCTTACTGCCTGAGCACAATCCTCCTTGCTCTCTCTGTCTCCCTCTCTCTGTCTTTCTCTCTCATTTACTCCCCTTCCTCCTCCCACCTGGCCACCATGGGCTCCGTTTACCTGTGGAAGCTGTCCTCCCAGAAGCTGGGCTTCTTCCTGGTCAGCTTCGGCTTCATCTGGGGCATGATGCTGTTGCACTTCACCATCCAGCAGCGCTCGCAGCACGAGAACAGTGCTGCCCTGCGCCAGCAGATCCTGGAGCTCAGCAAGCGCTACGTCAAGGCACTGGCTGAGGAGAACCGTGACGTGATGGATGGGCCCTACGTGGGCACCATGACTGCCTACGGTAAGGCTGGGAACACCAGGGGGCTCGAGCCGTTCTAGTAGCAGGAGCAGCTCTAGAATTAGCAGTTGCAGCTCTATTAACTGGAACTGAAATATGTGCTTTATACTGGAGCTGTACTGTATGTGCTGTACTGGAGAGTCATCAGACGGCAAATGTCAGTGGATGTTTTTTAAAGAAAAGATTGATTCAGTTCAGCTTCCTTTCATTAAGTGTACTTCCTGATTTATAGTGAAAACATATATGGTGAAAACATGGCGAGTCAGATAAAGTAAGAACAGCATCAGGAGACGAGGGTTAAATTTTTATGAGTAAACAGGAATGGTCAGGAGCTTTAAAAACTGCATTTGATTCGTTGTTTAAAGGTCACATTCAGTGAATGTTGATGTTTTGTTTTGTTGTTTGTGTTTCTGCTAAGGTTCAATAGAAATGTTCATGTCTGACCTGAAGACATTTGCATCAGAAACTTATCTTTTCAAAGAGAATTCACTCCTTCCCCTTCCTAGCATTAAGCCTGACTTAGTTTCTCTGGTTAACCATCCCCTGTAGAAGAGTAGGCGTAACTCTGAATTTGTTATCCCTGATCTGGATAAGTGGTGTGATGGGCCCTGTGTAATTATTTCAACCATTTAGTCACAGTGAGGATTCCTTTCAGAAAAGTGTGGACATAGTCTGTGCGTCCAGAAGGTGGGGAAAAAGCCCCTGTTTTGTCTGACTGAGGAGGATCAGAGAGGGAGGATTGAAAAACTCTATAAAAATTTTATGATCATTTAGTGTACATTCAATTGCGAACAGGGAAGCAGGCGAATCACCTTTAAGGCACAGGACAGGTGGTCTGAAATGCTGAAGGTCTAGCTGCCCTGTCCTGCTCTTGTACAGAAACATACTCTTTTACTCCTTAAAGGCCAGGTCATATTTACTGTGGATGGTGGTAGGAACATAATTTTTGTCACTGAGGATGGGCGCGAATCACTTGGAAACTGAATCAATGCCATTCAGGGATGCAAACACCCATCAATCTTTCATTGGCCTGGGGAATGGTTGCAAAATAGTCAGAAAAGACATTTCAGCATGCGCACTGTGGCATGCCCGCCTTTGCAGTAAGTAGGAACCAGGCTTTAGTGTTCAGAGATGTTGAGGTTAACTTGCCCCAGTCACGTGTGCTTAGCAGGGTTTTCGTTCTTCCTTTCTCTTGAGCAGATGTGATCTCCGCGGACAAGTTCAAACTGGCCATGAAATGAAATCCATTTTATTATGTGGAGGCACAGGGTCTGTGAGGCAGTCTAGTTGCGTGGAGACTGCAACAGAATTGACAATGTTAAAAATATATTTAGAATTACAGCCTGTTTACTGTGCCTGCATCATGCTTTTTTGGTGTGACTATCTTCGTTGTGAGGCTGAGGATAGTAGATTTTACAGCCATGCAATAAGCTGATGGTACGGTTCCTTTTTCTATTTTTTTGTCAGCTCAGTAAGTTTGGCAGGAACAGGCTGTAAATAAAAACTTCCTCGCAGTGTGACGTCTACTGCTTGTATTCGCCGTGTGTGGGTTGGTACGACCGGGCATGCAGCTGTCCATGTTAAAAACGTATTAAAAACATTACAGCCGGTCAGAGTGGAACTCATTTGTTTGTAATTAGATCATTAGAAAAGAATGATTTTGGCTCACTTTTTTAATGATCTGGTCCTATGGCACGTTTGAGGGTGTGCTTGCGTAATAGGCTCTTTTTATCTTAATAATATATTATATTGCCATCATATTACACAACAGCAATATGTTATTGGTGATGGTCCCCCCCCCCCCCCCGAAACCCTATATGTACTGTGTTTTTCCTATGCATGCATACCTATGATCAAGTTTAATTTATAAATTAGGCACAGTAAGAATTTAACAGCAGTTATAATAAAAATGAATAAGTATAACAAATTCATAAAAAAGGTGGGGGGTGACTTGAACAGAAGCACTGCGATTGGACGACAGTAGATTTGATAACCGAGACTGCTACTGAGTGACTAATGGGCAGGGAGCATATACAGCATGGACATGCTAGACGAAGGGGTGGTTCAAGTCCCGGGCAGAACGGCCGTGTGAAGTCTTTCAGGACAGCACACAATTTAAAACTTAGCAGTTATTTCTGGAATTTTCCATTTAATATTTTCGGACCGCAGAAAACGAAACTGAGGTTAAGGGGGGACCACTATGCAGTACCCTGATAGAGGTGGCTGTCCCCGCTGTGTGACAGCTGGAAGCTGGCATGACAGCCTGCAGATATCTGATGAGGAGGAAGTGTGGGAAGGGGTGTGTATCTTGCAACACAGGGTTTGACAAGCTCCCCACCAACCTGCGCGTGCCTGGTTTGGGTGGCGCCGGTCGTGCTCTTGTTAGGTGAGCTGTGAGTGGGAGGTGATTCGGGCTCTTCTCCTTATGTATCTGTCACAGCTGCCTGTGGGGAGCCCCTGGGGATGTCCTCCTGCTGCTCGGCTCCCAGCACTAGGCTCAGTCTCTGCACGGCAGTGCCCCCTATCCAAAGTCTTTTTTATGGCAGCGTGACCTTTCCCAGATTGGCAGCCCCAGCCTGTTTTGCGTTTGGGGCAGCATGGACAGGAGACGTGAGAACGACATGGATCAAACCTCCAAAAATGGGACAAGTCTGGAGACATTAACTTGTTTACACACAGGCCCCAGAGGGGGTGTGAATGTCTGCTTGTCTGTTGGTTACTCTCCCATGCACGCACACACATGTGGTTACCCATAATCCACCAGTGCTACTTTCTCTCACCATAAGTTCAGAGTTTCCAAGTATGCTCTCCGTCTGCAAAACCTGTTGCGTGCCTTACATTCTCTCATGTACACCCACAAATGGGGCACTAATTGCCCATAATTCACCAGTGCCACCTTTCCTCACAACCCAGTCTCAGTTCAAGTGTTTCAAAGTTTGCTCTGATCTCTCTCTCTCTCATGCACACACACACACACACACACACACGCACGCACGCACGCACGAGAGACACTAATTGCCCATAATTCACCAGTGCTCCTTCCCTCCTGACAGCCTCAGTGTTTCAAAGCTTGCTCTCTTGTCTTCAAAACATGTTGCCCGAGTGATCACCTGTCTCCTGCCTAATCCTTTTAGGAGAATGCAGTGTGGTGTGGTGCATTAATAAAGCACACTGCACCGAGCACAGATGAGGTGGCATTAAAGGACGGATTTGGCAAAATCGGTAATTCAGAGGATCCCCATCTGCTGCACTTATTCTGTAGCTGACAGTAGTCAGGATTTGGCAGGACGTTAAGTCAAGATACAAACAGAACAAGCAATCTGGTCCTGTTTTGCAGCTCGATGGTGATGTAATGATGTAAAAAAAGTATTTTGCCATCTTTCATCAAGCAGTCATTAAAGACCATGAATGTGCAGCACGTGACAGAGGAAAATGGATCCCACTGCTGTTCTTGCTAACGGGACTCTGGTCCCGAGGAGACGGAGTGAGCTGTTGTTGTCACTGGACACAGTGTTTGCTTTGTACACTGTTCTTTTGGAAGTCTTTAAGCAGGACAGGATACAAACAAACAAGGAGGGTCTTTGGATGAACAATGGCTTGGCAGGAGGGATCTCCCATGCTCCCCCGTGGTTCATTTTGGGTCTTGGGAATGATAATGTGATATTCGAGCTGTTCCCGCGTTCTCCGCAGCGGGGGGAACGCTGGCAGTGGGATGAAAATGGAGAGCATTACTTCATGCAGCTGGAAGCGTGGCTGAACGTGACCACATGCTCAACCTTGTGACATGCTGAAGGGTCACTTGCAGCCACATGGGGCTCTGATCGTTGGGCATTCATCATCACATAGGCATGGAAACGCAAATGTCTGAGCCAGTCCACAAAAACCCATGTAAAGTACCAAGAATCGGAAGGCCCATAAGTCGCGTAAAACATCCGGAAACAGTTTCCCTGTTGCTCCCTGAAAAACAGTGCCCACTGACAGAGCCTTTAAGTGTCTATAAGACCCGGCTGCTCTTGTTCTGCAAAATAAGGATCACTGCCTGAGTAGCATCGCCAGGATACAGGTCATTTTAGGCCAGTGTCCATATTCGTTAAAGTGCTAGGAAACCAAGGTCAGTAGGGGGTCAGTGCAGCATAGGATAAGTGTGAGGATCATTCAGCCAAATCCTGGGTAATCAGTCAAACATCTGCCCTGCAAAGGCCTTTACGACCGTGCAAAATCTGCTCTATTATTTGAGCAGCTGAATGAGTCCATTGCAAAATTAACATCACAAACTACTGCTTTCCATTGCATAAGACTATATTCGTTTATCATTTCAAAAGCTAAGGTGCGGTTCTCATAATAAAATGCCCTTTAGCTGAGTCATTCTGAAGCTTATCAGAATAACTGGGTATTAGACCTCATGTAGAGTAATCAATCATTTATGACCAGCTTAATGGTTCAGAGAGTGAGAACTTGACTGTCTTTTCCACAGTGTGCAAATGCTTTCAAAAGGTTGTTAAACAGTTCTGTCAGAATACCTCGGCACTATAGTAGTTCAGGTTATCACTATGGAAACATGACAGCCCACAAATAACTTTCTCAGCTCGGTGGGATTCATTCCATGGTTTGTTCTCGAAACAGCTTCGTTAGGGCAGAAAGGTTAATTAATTAGGAGCTGTGTTGAAAAGAACACCAGTGTGCTCAGGTCCCGTGTGGAGCGGAGTTTAACACCCCTGATCTGCTGTGATAAGCCCTTACCCATAGGGACATGTGTGGGTGTACACACGCTCACACACACACACACACACACACACAGCTACGCCTGGGTAAAATCTGGGTGTGACCTTTTTATGACTTTGCACCAAAATGCCCCAGCATTGATTCAGGACTGCGGATGGAGCTCCATCCGTCCTCTGGATGTAGAGTTGGCTGTGTGTCCCAGACGTGCCTCTGAGCCATGAGGGTCGTTGTCAGGGTTGTAACCCTCCTCTGCGGATGGAGGTGTCACCCTGGCACGCTTCTCTGGTGAGCTTTTCCAAATGATCCCGGTCTGCCCCTGGGGGGGGGCTTTCCTTTGGCTGTCACACGGGGGAAGCGTCAACCCAACCTCTCTGCTCGCAAGCTTTTTATGATTGGAACACAACCCAGGGGTGCCTCACTCCCCCCCCCCCCCCCAAACTGTGAGCTCGCAGTGTGAAAATGTGCCCAGCGCCTGTTTCCTGACAGGCTGGCTTCCGCTTGTCTTGTTGTGGCAGACAGATTCACACCTGCAGCTCGCAGGTTTTTATTACGATGATGTGAACTGTCCAGAGTAGTGTATTGGCGTGCAAACCTAGACATGAGTGTGCACGGCTCCATCCAGCGGTTCTTAAGACTCTTTCCGGAATATTCCCGTAATGTGTGGTGTCAGTTGTTGGGCGAGGCTCTGTTTACTTCTCACCAGAAGGTCGAACTAAGCTTCTTATAAGACCATAATTTGACCATTTGATCAGGAAGCTAACATGATCCTCGTCTGTTATCCCCCTGTATATGTGTATCTCAGACCTAAAGAAGACGCTGGCCGTGCTTCTGGACAACATCCTGTTGAGGCTGGGGAAGCTGGAGTCCAAGGTGGATGTGGTCATCTTCAACGCAACGGGCAACCTCACCAATGGGACGGCAACCGGGGCCACAGCCTCCAGCACAGGCAATGCTGACAAGGTCAACGTGGCAGGTGGGTGGCACTGGGGAGGCTCTTGGGACCCCTTGGGATCCCGCATGGACTGTTTTGGTGGAACCTCAGGGCACGTCCTAGAAACGGTCACCTAGAAATGAGCGACAATCTCACGGGATTGGAGCGGCTCGGCTGCTTGGTCTCATAGCACTTCAAGCTAAACGATTCCAGCAGATAATGGCCCAAATAACCCACATCTCCACTGTCTTCAATCCCATCCCATCCCATCCCAGCCCCCTCCCTCCCCGCCCACTGCTTTTGTGCAGCAGAAGGCAGCTGCACGTCCTCTCCCTGCAATTGCAAATAAATATCCCAGAAATCAATGCTGCCAAAAACGAGGCTAACGAGGCCTGCTAGCGCTTCCCTGCTGGCCTGCAGAAACTCTGCCTTGGTAAAATATGAAGCCCTTTGCGGTGCACCGGCAGCAGCGTGACCCTTACCGGCTGCGGCGGCATTTTGTCGTCCAGATTAAGAGGTACCTAATGTGCGGCGGCAGCGTTCTGCCTGGAGATTAACGAGCACGGTGTGAAGACCGATCAATGGCAGCACCCTGAGGACAGGGCAGGGACCACAGGAAGTCCCGGCAGGGGAAGACCTGTGGTTTTGGTTCTGACCGGCATAGTCTCCAGGGTCTGCTATTTCATGTTTTTCTTTGTTTTTTTTTATTCTGGGTCTCAGGGTAGAGCCTTTCTGAAGGTGGAGTTCATTGGCGTGATATAGACCATGATATAGACCGCCCTTAACCACAATCAGCACAAGGCTCTTTATTTTTCTCTGCTTTCTATGGGGGAAAAACAGCCAGAGCAAATTGCTGGGACCTGCTCACCCCCCTCTACCCACAGCCCCCCCCACCCCCCACAGGGCGCCCACACCATGACCCGCAGTCTTGCTCTTCATTACTCCCTATTGATTTTTTCCAACTGTGTTTTTTTCCTGCTAATTCCCCCTCCCTCCCCAAGATGATAAAATAAGAAAGTTAGCATATCAAGTTCAAATGAACTTCCGTTGCCGGCGTCACGTCTGGAGTTATCTTGTTGGTCCTTGGTGTGGAAATGCAATTACTTTGGAATAAAGCCACTGTTCACTCGCATATCTGGGAGGCTGTGGGAGCTTTCTGGAGCTTTCTGAACAACACACGTCTGGATGATCTGTTCGCCGGTTTTCGGGAGCTGGTCTGTTCTGTTCCTTGTGTTTGAAACCTTGGGTAGGGGCTGTGACCTGAATCTTAATGGACATGATGGATGGGTCCATTACTTTTTTGTGGGGGCATGTCCTCTGTGACACACCTGCCGGACTGTGACTGGAACCATGGAGTTCCAGCTCAGAGGTGTGGTGTTGACCCCTCCCAAGGTGTACAGGGTGAAACCAGCCAGCTGTTTCAGACTGTGCTGAACTACATTGAGGCTTTCCCAGGAGTATAAATTCACACACACAAGGTGTGTGGGTCATGTTTTCCAATGCAGGGAGGCACGCATTCCCTCGCTGACCCTCCTAGTAACCGGCCAGCTAGGGTATCAGAAGGTGTTTGCTTCTGTTACCTTTATTTACCAGATACTTTTATCCAAAGCAACACACACTTGAAAAGGCAGGGTCAGCTAGTCCTGGGGACTACTGGAAATTTGAGGACCTTGCTCAGGCACCCAACAGTGACATCACACTGCTGACCCTGGGATTTGAACAGGTGACCACCTGATCACAGGAACGGTGTCCGGAACCACACAACGCAGGTTTCCGGAATGAGTTTGTGGAATCTGAGTCGCTGGTGCCTTTCCGCAGCCCTAACTTGTAGTTTTATCAGGGTCAGCTTGACACGTTGACGGCCGAATTTCTCCTTGAAGGGGCCCAAAGCAGTGACCGCACCATTTGAGTCAGGGCTAGCGTTGGCAATTTGGAATAGATCATGTGAGAATATTGATTTAGTGTTCCTGAAGGGCAGTTTGAAAATGCAGCTCAACATTAATGATGGTTTTTAAAAAGGTTGTCGCTGCAGAACAGCAGGGCCGCAAATCATTTTGCCGTGTCACCTACACAAACTTTGCCTTAAGAGATTTTGCGGTTTTCCAATTCCCAGTGCTTTGATGCTTTGTTTGTGCACTGTTATAACCTGTACCGACTTTGCAATTACCCTGTAATTTTAGTGCTTTATGAGTAAAGGAACTAGGAACAGACTGCAGAATGCTTATTTCCAGGGAGTTTTTCTTTCAGTTTTCCAGACACCAGAGCCTATCTTCGTTTAAATGCTCGAATAAACAGTGGTTTTGTTCACTAAGGACAAACACACTAGTGGTGTGAGCGTTGTTCCCACAATCCCCTGGCACTTTTAAATGGCCACAGACAAAACTTTCAGTGAGTATATGTTTGTTTCAGTAACTGATTTAGAGCAGCTGTGTTTCTTAATATCTGAGGATTGTGGAGAATTTTTGATCCACACCTTGTTATGCTGGATGTTTTGAAGCAGTGTAGTAGTGTATACAGTTTTCTTATCAGCAGTTGTACTATCAACTGGAACTTGATGGGGGCACAGTGCCGATAACCCCATTAGGAAAGGCTGGTTATCATGGCCTGCCCCCACGGGCAGCTGGTATCAGAGTGTGGGTCTGCGAGAGGCTCCTTATGCAGCCACTTGGTCTGAATTTCTTTTGCTACCCTGACGTTCCCTGCCTTGATGTTGCGTGTTTTTCTGAGACTGGTGAACCGGAAATCCTGCTTTCCTTGTGTGACCCGTAGCTGCTCAGAATAGCAGGTTGTCCTCAGCGCAAATCCCAGTTACCCTGTTCCCATTGTGTTTTGGCTGGCATACATTAGGTGGCGCAGTGGTTAAAGAGCTCATCGTACCCAAATGTCATGACCCCAAGTAAACAAGACTTATGATTTTATAAATTGAATACAGGAGGATGTTTTTTTCTACAACGGTGCTGCATCCTTTTTTATTTTTAAAACATTTTCAATTTTTGATCTCCAGTAATGAAATTAAATGACTAATGAAAGCTGTTCTTTCATAACGGCCTGTGTGGTTTGGGGTGGGGGTGGGTCAGCTGGGCAGACTTCTCCTACACCAACAGTCAGCGATGTGACTCTTCAATTCCAGTTTCGATCACATGGGTTGTGACACCATGATTGATGACAGTGACAATCAGCGTCCTATGAAACCTGTATGCCTTAAGGTCTGTCTGCTGGTACTCGAGTGGTTTCGTCTGCATGCACTGAAACTGTCACCTCTGTGTTTGTCTGCGCTGTCCTACGGGAGGGTGTAGACTTATCCCCGTCTGCCTGCTCAGCACATACGCTGCCCTGTTCACCTTCCTGTTCGCGTAGCTTCTGTATCTCGCTGGAACGCTGGTGTCCGATCAAAACACGCTGCCTGCAGAGCGCTTGCACCCTCACACAGTGGTATGAGCTGCTCGGGGTACATGGGAGTGTCATGGGTGGTGAGTCACAGCGCCGATTGTGTGTTATATGGCTGCAACGGGAACTGAGCCAGTGCCTTCCGGCCAGGCGGCCCGTGAGCATTGCATCCTGTGGCTTGCCATTACATCTCTTTCTGGTCAGAACCAGTTTATGCGTCACAGGACGAAAACGGGCCTGTTAGTTACCCGCCCGAGCCAGCCCTCTTCCTGATGAATGCGGCGCCGTTCCAGTGTGGTGAGGTGCCGACGCCGGGCCTGCGCTCCCTGGTGGCCTGTTCCTCATTAGCAATTTTCTGCCGATTCAGGGGGCCAGTAACCAGGCATTGATGTGGTCTCCCATGGATACCCATAGCTGCAAAGTGGGGGCGTGGGTGAATGACAGTCCCGCCAGACTGTAGTGTGGTCCGGTGTCCCTGCTTGGTGTAAACTGAGGTTAAATGAGACGATTAGCATGTTAATTAAACTCTATAAGTGCCCATGTGGCCTCACACCTCCCTCACAGCCTCCGTCATGTATTGTGAGTGGCCTGCTGTTTCCTCACATCGTCGGTCACGTGTCCTTCCCCTCCGCCCCCCCCGATCCCCAGTGCCTCTGAACATCTGTGTAACCTCAGTGACTGGAGGCTGGTGGGCTATTCCTCACTTCCTTGCCTCTGCGGCGTTCGCCTCAGGCCCAGAGAAGGAGTCGTGTTCCGAGGGACCATGTTCATCAGCCTCAGCTGTACACCAGCCCTTAGGTCTAAAACTTTTTTTGCACGTACCCATTATCACAGGAATTGCAGCTTCTGTAGGCCGCCTCCAGCAGGAAAAAGTGTCTATCAAGTCTAGAACAGTCAGTAAATTTTAGGTATTCTTTGAACACCCCATTTTTTTTGGTTTGGCTGGTGTGTCGGTGTACACTGCAGGGTGTGTTCAGGCAGGTCTGCATGGCACTGGCCGATCCAGGGTGATCATGCAAGAACAGGTCAGAACAAGGGCCCCAAAAGGAAACCCTCCTCAACCGTGATGCTGACACCAAAGCGAATGTTCATTTGCTTTGTGAGATTGTTAAGGCTTGTTGGGGCTGCGCACATGTACTCACTCCCATGCAGCAGTCCACCCTCGCTCAGCTGGTTGAGACAGATCCAGGGAGGTGTCGCAACACATGCATGCATACCTGCGAGAGCTTCTCGCTCGGATTCCTCAGTGATAATGAGTGGCCGCAGTACCATCATCATCCTCCTCCTACTCGTTCTTCTTGACAGTGACAAATCGCTCCATTCTGATTAATTCAGTTAAATGGCGGGAAGTCAATCATGCCTGAGAAAAACGACACCTTTGCAGACCTCTCCCAGATATGTGAGTGCCCCCCAGCAACTGTACCTCTGTTGGGAAGTGTCGCTGCAGCTCCCTGCATCAACGGTCCATCAAGCTAGGCCGGCAGCATTTGGCAAGTTCTTCCTGGTCCTGTGGTTTTGGTAAAGTGCCTCTGTGGACACTCAGCCAAGAACTGGTTGGGACGGCCTGATGTGAGAGGAACCAACCAACTGAGGCAAGGTGATGGCTCCGAGTCCTGTATGTGTTACTGGAGAGGCGTGACATCACCTCTCACAGGCCCCATTCAGGAAAGGGGGACCTGTTGCATTTGGCCCTGGGAGCAAGGGGCTTATATTTTTGAGAGCATCTGACAGAGATCAGACAATGAAAGTGAACCCGCCCTCAGCTCTGCGTCATTTTGGCATGGGTATTTGCGGAATTGGATGAGGATTGCAGTGTTTTGCCATTCCTGAGCTATTGAATGCATCTTTAGAGCAGTACCTGGGCTTCAGGTTCTTCCTGTTTGGGGCCCGTGAGAATTGTGGGCATGCCCATAGGCTCGCCCATCACGGCTTTGACACTCCTTGGCCAGCGGGGTGTCACTGCGGCTCTACCTGGGCCCGACAGCATCAGGAGGAATCTTGCCTTTGATTGCAACCTCGTCATCACCTTGAGGCTGGTAGCTGATTCCAGTCGCGCTTCGCCTTGCATTTCGTTCCGGTTAGCGCTGAGCAGTGGATCGTTATGAAGCATGCGCGTCTTGCTTTTTCACCCACTTTCACCTGTCCCTTGCCGCAGTGGCATGTTGCGGCGGTGGGGGAGAGATTCCTATCCGTCAGCCAGTAGGCCCTGAGGCTTGATTGAATTTGTGAGTCGATTCCTTCTCGTCTAAGTCAGGATCCCCCTGGAGAGAGGGGCGAAGCCATTAAAGCTTTTTCAGACGGATTAGTTTGTCAGGGAAGCTTATCTCAAGGTTGACTTTAACTTCTGCAAGCTGGAATTACAATTAATTTTCCCACAGACAAGCCACCCTGCAATTATGATTATTATTGTTGTTGGTTTTTGTTCGTAATCTGTTATTTCATTTTTCGATTTTAAAGCTAAAGGGTTTAACAGCCCTGATGATAAACTGTAAACAAAGACAACGGAAGTCAAAGACCGAAAAAGACTAAATGAAAACAATCCTGTAACCATAGCTACAGCGGAAACCCAGCGGGATGCCATACGTCAGGGAGGTGGCGCTAGCAGGCGTGTTTACTGGTGAGGAACCCTGCTGTGAGAATGGCTCAACAGCCCAGTTCTGTTGAAAGCCACAAGTCTAAATTGCTAAGGTGCAGGAAGATGACTCTCTAAGCCAACCCAACCATTGTAGAGATCCCCATAAAGCTCAGTCCTATCCTTCATGAACGAGAAGCTCTGAAGATGCCTGCGCCTGGTTCCTAAATCATCTGCAGGGGCGTTTATTGTGATGGTCCAGCGGACTGGATCAGCTTGGGAAAAATGAAATCTTGGCACCAAGTTGCGACAGCTGACCAGCTGTTCATGTGAGAACGTGCAGTCTATCGCTTCAGCTATCGCTATTATCAGTGCATCACATTATCATGGTGTCTGTTATAGGTGAAAGGGCGCTCCCTCTGTCCCAGGGGCAGGTATTTGCTCACGCTGCAGCCCAAAGAGTATTTCACCTTGTCCTCCTCCACAGAGAACTGTAAGCAGTTGCTATGGGTGGGACGACATCAGCACCTTGGCTGGGGTGAAATGTCACGCCGATCGCTGAAGGCTGTCCATGTGTGTCTCTCTTCTGCTGTTGTACACTCCCCCTCCCATACACCAACTGTACACGGCTCTGAACATGCCCCCTTCTTCCCCCATAGACCTTTTGAATGGGGCCCAGGAGAAGTGTGAACTGCCTCCCCTGGATGGCTTCCCCCATTGCGAGGGCAAGCTGAAGGTAAGTGCAGGGCCCCAATTCTGAGCCTCTGTCCTACCCCGGGGGGGCACCCTTCACAGGCATGGGGTCTCATCGCCTGGCCCTCGGCTTCTAGAAAAATAAGCTCTTTGACGTATGTGTGACCCTGTAGAGCTCAGTGCCCGGCGAGCGCTTAGCTAGTCATTATTTACACATTTCTGCTTTCCAAGATTCTGGCCCAATCAAACAGGGACGCTTTCAAATCAAATCTGCTTAGAGGAAAAGATCACAGTGTAAGTCTTGGCTTAACATCCGGCTGGCTCGTAATTAGTGTTCCAGTAATTAATCTGTCAGTCTTAAAAAAAAATATATATATTAACATGAAAAAAATGTTATTGCAGATCCTCTTCTTTGTATCAGCATGCTGCAGTCTTTAACTTATGGATTTTTATTGTTTTTATAAAAAAAAAATTGATGGTTACAGTCTTCAAGGGAATGGCTGTTCCTAAAACTCATTAGAAGTTTGAGAAAGCAGATGGAAAGCATGAATATGTGGAAAGTTTCAAAGTAGTTCTGCAGCAAGATCCTTATATTTGATGTTTTTATTCCTTCCACGTGTGTTCCTTCGGAGAGGATTGAAATCAAAATGCTCTGTCCTGCTTCTGCTGCAGAACGTGAATTTCAGTAGACGAAGCTTATGCGGCTGCCCAGAATATCTATAATAATAGCAGCTCAGCGATGAACGGCTGATTACAGCTTAGATAAAAGGGCACCATGCAGTCACTTGCAGTACGTCTTTATAAACAGACTCTCTGCACATGTCAGAGCCAAGCTGAGTCTTGGTCTATTTAAAGCGTGTCTGTTTGTGATTCCTGCCATGTAAGCCCAATCCCCCTCTTCCTCAGTGGATGAAGGACATGTGGCGCTCTGACCCTTGCTACAGCAACTATGGTGTGGATGGCTCAACGTGTTCCTTCTTCATCTACCTCAGCGAGGTGAGTCTGCCCTGCGACAGGGGCGTTTGGGTGCGACCATGAAGTGCTTTCTGAGAAGGCCAGCTCCATGTGAACAGAACAGACGGCCGTGGTCACAACTTGCTACTAGCAAAGCAGTGAGGCTTATTCATCACTTCCCTTTTTTGTAAGCATGCTTTAAAATTATGGTTTAACACGACCGTGGAAGCGTAAAGAGGCGATAAAATAAGAGGAAATAAAAGATGATGGACCTCACCTGTCTAAGTAGCTGGTGCTTATATGTCACATATTTGTGTGTTTTCTGTTAAAGCCCATTATATTCTCTGCTTCCTCCAAAACATCAAACACACTCAAGATCTCATAAAACTCATAAATTGTCTTAGGTGAAGGGAAATTACTGCTAAACATCTTTCAGTCGCATAATATTAATATAAACTTTTGTTTTATTGTTGCAGGTAATAAAACTTTTGGAAATGATACGATCGTTGTTTCTGTGGTAAAGACAAATTGCGATGGCAAAATTTATGATTGCAACAGTTGAATGTGAGGCGGTATTTCAAAGAAGCCCTTTAAAGGGAGACTGTGGGGAGCTCATGCGATTTCATAGAAGCTAAACTAGACCTTATGCCATGCAGTATGAAGGAGACCTCCTCAGACCTGGCCATGTTGTGTGGCCCGTGTGGTTTCCATGGTGATACACCTGCTTTTTCAGTCTGCAGTCTGTGCTCCTCCCCTCCAGCCTGTCTCATGACCCAGGGGAGAATTTGAATTTGCCAAACGTGCCTTTAACCATGGGGACCAAATCTGCAGCTCAGAAACCCAAAGGCAAGCCTGTCGCCGCATTAAAGTCTGCGGCCTTTGAGGTCCTCAAACCAGGAAGAATGTCTGAATCTACCTGCCTGTTGGCTTTAGGTAGTGAGAGGAAGGCTGGACTGATTCACGGCCAGACAGGCAGGTGTAGACTGTAGCTCCAGACAGAGATTGGACATGGGTGGGGCTGCCTGGCCATCAGCGTGGCTGGTCAGCAGTGTGGCGATCTCCTGCTCCCCTCACCTGTGCTCTTTCAGCTTCAGGTGTTTCAGAGTTAACCCACTTTACAGTCGGTGATGATCTCCTTCCTGTCTGTGGCCCTCAGGTGGAAAACTGGTGTCCACGATTGTCCTGGAGGTTGAAGCGTTTCAATGAGGAAGATAGCAAAAGCTTGGTGAGTACACCCCCCCCCCCCCCCCCCCCCCCAAGATTTGGGCAGAAGGTGGCATCACTTGACTCTCTCACTCCAAACCATCTACACCCTGACCACCTCAAACTCCATCGGCAGGATTAAGCACATGCTGAGCTGCTTTCCAAAATGCCCTCCTTTTAAGGTGTCCCTACTTAACATGGCCCCGTTTTGAATCTTCCAGGCACCTTTTGTTTTTTCAGGGCTGGCTCGTGGGTCTTGGGGTGTCTTATTGACCCGGTTCACTGTCCCGGTTCTGTTCTACCTTTGAGGGAATGCTGGCGCTGTAGGCGAGCGACGCCCGCACTGACGCCAAGAGTCTCCCAGTCACCCCATTTGGACACGCATGGCTCTGCCATTTCCTTTGTGGCTGTGATTAGCACAAAGGAAATTGCAGGTTTGGCAGAAAGATGTCACCATTGAGCCCTTGAGCAAGGCTCTTAACCCCCAGTTGCCCCAGGGACACACTCACCCTGCTTTCTCAAAGGTACACTGCTTTTAATGGAAAAGTATCTGATAAATAAATAAATGTACATTTTACGGAAAGCCATAGATCCTTTTCTCACTCCTGATCCATGTATAGATGCATTTCTCAGTGAATTCCATCACCATACTAAAGAAGAGGGTTTCAATCTGACATTATGGCTGTGTGTAATACTCCTCCACCCTGGCCCCAACCGCCCCACCGAGCTGAGCTCCTTATGTGTGTAACGTGGCATATTTAGCTCCATCGTGCAGCTCAGTGACGTGATGTGACTGTAGGCTGGCTGGCCGGCGCACTCCTGTTTCTCGTCAGCTGTTTATTTACGCTTAATCATTTTAACAGTCGTTTCCCGTGAATGTGTTGAGGTGGAAATTAAATGAGAGCAGGTGGTAGGGAGCAAAGGGAGGCTGAGGGTCCACACTCTGGTCCTCTGCACACAGATCGAGATCCGGACCAGTTTCGACGATCTGTACCGGATGATGTCGCACCGGGAGGAGTTCCGCTGGATGATGATACGGATCCGCCGCATGGCCGAGGCATGGGTCGACGCCATCAGATCACTGGCTGAGAAGCAGGACCTGACTAAACGCCGGCGCAAGAAGGTATTCATGTTTCCTACTTGCTTGTCAGTGGATGACCTAGGTTTATTCCTCAAGGATCATCCATATGTCTGACAGGGTACCCTCATGTCCATATCCGTCCATATGTCAGACAGGGTCATGGAAAACCAGGAAAAGTTTTGGAATTTTTAAATAATTTTTCCAGGCCCTGGATAAGTTTTGGAATTCTTGGATAGAGAGGAAAAGTTATGGAAAAGTTTTGGAAACTAGCCTTGTTCATTTTTTTCCCCCGCTTCGTTCCGCATCGCGCTAACAGAAATTTATGAGTGTAAGTCAATAGTTAATTACCTTGGTAAACATACGTTTCCGCGCAGATTTTGCGTATTTGAGATCGCTGCTTTTTTGCTTGTTATTCCAGTTTTTATGGTTTTATTTATTTTTTTGCATGTATTTGAATTTCCCGTTTTTGACTCCGTTTGCCTCTACCAATCATAAGGTACAAATAATTTTAATATTGGGATAAATTTCCTTAATAATTGAACGCTATTTGCACATTGGCGAAAGTTGTCCACCGTCTGTGTTTATTTGGTAAGCAGATTGGCTATTATCATACCGAAAATTGTAGTATTACTGTCGTTCGGGACACGGAGTGGCAGTCAGGAAATCGGGGAACACAGGATTTAATAAAAAGGGCAGGCGAGGAAACACTCAGTGACATTACAGTGACCGGACTGGGGAAATAAACTGAAACGCGGACTAAATACAGAGGACTAATGACAACAGCCAAAAACAGTTGATCACACGGGGATTCCACACGAGGTTAACGAGGGAGCATGGCACACGGAAGGAGTGGACGATTGGGGCAGGACAATAACTATCTGAAACTGCATGATCATCAAATCAAAGCAAACTTGTGGGTTTTGGAAAATTTTCTTGTGGTACTGGAAAAGTTTTGGAAAAGTCATGGAAATTTATTCTGCCAGAACTGGGGGAACCCTAGTCTGATAATTGAGCCGGGTTTGATGAGTGAAATAATTCCTCCTTCCACATGATCTGTAGGTAGGTCTGTAGACTTCTGCAAGACCATTGTGGGTTTTCATTAAGCTATAACAAGTCACCTCAACTTAAATGTGGCTGTACTTGGGTATCTGTGTTGCTAACAGAAGGTCCCCCCTTCCACACACAGATCCTGGTTCACCTGGGTCTACTCACCAAAGAGTCGGGCTTCAAGATCGCAGAGAACGCCTTTAGCGGTGGCCCCCTGGGTGAGCTGGTGCAGTGGAGTGATGTCATCACCACCCTGTATCTGCTGGGCCACGACCTGCGCATTTCCGCATCTCTGGCCGAGCTCAAAGAGTGAGTGAACACTGACAGGTTCTTTTGACAACCCTATCACGCGATGTTCAAGTGCCGTTTGACTGTCAACGTAAAGAGTGATGTTCTGTAATGGCAAGTGGCTGCAGTCTGTTTCGCATTCACATGCAACCCATGTTTAAGCTCCTTATTACTGCTATTTCGTGGTGAAATTCATCCGTTAAGAAATAATCAGGTCTGTAGCCACACTGCAGCTTTCAAAACTCTTGATAAAGATTTCAGTTTAGAGAAGACAGTGTCCTAACACAGAAATAGTATTTTCAGCGAGCGGGGAAAGAGAACTATCCGAGCCTATTGTATCGTTTTTTCATGTTGAAGATTATCTGGATGATTGTGTTGATAGATGCTACTCCTGATAGGTAGATGTTCACCACCTGGATTTGCTGTATCTCTCTGTGAAGATGCATAGCCACGGTGGAGTTTATATTGGGCCTGGTTTTATGAAACTATTATGATGCACCAGATACTGGTTTTCCTTCTCTCATACCACCCTGCTCTGTGACACGTTGACGTTCTGCTAGCTTTTTTGGGGTCTGCTTCATGAAGCTGTCAGCCTGTTCGTACCTGCATCTTTCAGTGAGCAGGAGTCTGTCAGCTAACACAGCAGCACCCAGGGAACATTCTGATCAGCTCTTCTGGTGCATGTTTCCATCTTGCTCCTAAGATGCGAGGAGATAGTAATCCGTTTTGCTGTCTTAAGACCCTTTTTTCACATATAGAATATTTCATGAGTGCTTCCCTCCTGGCAGGATCATGAAGAAGGTGATGGGGAACAAGTCCAGCTGCCCCACACAGGGAGACAAAGTGGTGGAGCTCATCTACATCGATATTGTGGGCCTCACCCAGTTCAAGAAGACTCTGGGACCATCCTGGGTACACTACCAGTGAGTCTCACCAGCCTCTAATTTTGGTCTAGATTGCCTCCTTACAGTCAGCATCCAGGCACAGGTGAAGATGTATTTGTGAGGTCCATCACTACTTTGGCTGTAGTGGTTTTCCCAGTGGTGACTATTGAGCCTTTCAGAGAAATTCTAGGAAAAAATGTGCTGGGCAGCAGGATGTATACTTCTGTTCTGTAGTTACCTGGCCCGTGATTTTTGTGTGTTGCAGTTTCCTCGTAGCATTTAGTTACATCCATCACAGAAGCCTCCATGCTCAGTGGTGTATGTGCCTGTAGAATGGAGGCACATGGTAGTTTGCATTGCAGATGACGTTCTGGTCTGTGTTTCCTACTTGCATCTGTCTCTAGGTTTCAGTCCTTGGATTCCAAGGTCATGCTTGGAAAAGCAACCCATGGTTTTCAGTCAGGATCTCCAGAGCATAAACCATGTGTCAGTTTTTTTGACATCGTCCAGTTGCGGTTGTCAGAGCCCTCGGACTAGCATACCCTTTCAAGTTGGCAGTGTCATGCTGGGGAATTGGCGGAAAATCAACCGCTGAGCTGCTTTTGCTAGTCAGTTGGTTGTAAATGTCGATCTCTGTTGACATGGCTGTCACCAGTTGTGTGTCTGCTTCTGCTCTATGTCTTCTGTGAGATGTGACTTTTGGTCATGTCACCCCGCCCAAGCTGCTCCGAGGCCTGGTCAAAATGCCACCCTTTGGATTGTGATGAGGATTATGCGTGGGAGCTGCCTTTGGAAGGACCAGCGGTCAGCTCTTAATCAGAAAGGCAACTCCTGTGTTTTTCTTGTCCCTGACAACGGCACGTATTACATTTCTGCTGCATTAACATTAACAGCCTTCCTTTTGTGACACTGTCCTTTTCCTACCCAAACTTAATTTGCTGGTGAGGAAATGTCTTACTCTGACAATGCAGGCTTTCGTCTTGATTATCTACCCCGTCTGATTGTGGCACCTCAGTGCTAATTCAGGCAAACTCTGCAGTGGAATATTCTCCCTCAGAGTAGAAGGGACAAGGTCGGCCCCTTTCATGGTGATTAATGCATCTGCCGTCATCCCAACCTTCTCTGTGTTGCCTCAGTTTTATGCTCTGCTCTGGGAGTCTGAGGAGAAACTAATTTGAGACTACATGGCTATTATCAGGATGGCAAATCCCATATAAATAAGGCACTGCAGGAACTGAGATCCAAAGCAGTTTGCCGAGCACACGCGCATCCTAAAGAAGGTCTTTTCCCAGGATGCTGCCAGTGATTGTGATGGGCACAGCAGTTTCATATTCATCGCCCCGGGTCACATGCTGGTTAGCCCACCCATAGGTAATGACATATGGGTATATCGATGCTAAAGCAGTGGCCAAAATTGAGTGCAATCCTAACGATACCTGAAAACTACCTTTGATGTTCAGAAGCTTGAAAGCTGAAGCTTGCATCTGTCTCCTGTGAGTTTAACCTTGAAAGGTGCTATTGACTTTCATATCTGTTCTTATCGAAGATGGGCGGTTGTTCTGTGGAGGTTATGTTTTCCTCATCAATTATTCGGCCTTCCGGTTCCTATTGTTGTTGTGCTTCAAACACCTCCCGCCCACACCATGAATTCATTTCTGACGTTTGTTTGGCCACCATTTAATCAAAGGTAATCTGCAGGACATCACTTAGGTCATGAGGAGACCCCCCCCTCTCACATGGAATCCACCTGGATTCCCTGTAATCATCTCACTGATCAGAGTAACGTCTAGTGTTATGTTTCTTCCAGCATTAGATGTACCAACATGTACATGAGGTCTAAAAAGTATATAAATATGGTAGTGGTAGTCTCTCTCCCTCAGGCCTTTCAAGCTGGCTACTCTTGAAGATGCATGGTACCTCTTGAAGCGTCTCTGCTGGGCCGTCTCCTGGGGCACCATGGAATCATTCGCTCCGTTATTTCCTATCCCTCCTATTTCAGGTGCATGCTGCGAGTGCTGGATTCCTTCGGCACCGAACCCGAGTTCAACCACGCCCACTACGCACAATCAAAGGGCCACAAGACCCCATGGGGCAAATGGAACCTTAACCCCCAGCAGTTCAATACCATGTTCCGTAAGTCAATCGGCCCTTGTGTCATTGTGTAAATGGTGAAAGGGGCAAAGTCAGCGCTCTCCATCTGTGGCTTCTTCTGATCAGACTTTATCTGTCTGCCATGGTTGTCTCAGCATTCTGCCCTGGGACTATTAAAATGAATGAAAGAATTAAAATACGCTGAGCTACCTGAATATTTTTGTTTTAGTATTCCTAACCCTTAGTTAGTATTCCTAGCCCTAACCTTTATCTAGCTGCTGGTTGTCATTTGCTGACAAGCCGCACCTTTTGAGGGTTGTTCTTTCACCTATACCATCATTAGCATGCTCTTGTCAGCCCACCCACATGCATGGATTTTGTTGTGCCTGTCAGTATGAGCTCTGGCTGGGACAACCCCAGATGAGGGGACTGGGGAGGTGGCTTCTCCACCGCTCTACTGATGGCTGCTTAATGACTCCCTCCCCCCCATGCCCCCCCACGCAAGCAGCTGATCAAAGGTCTCACATCTGAGTGAGGGTTGGTGTTCCTCTGTGGTTGTGGAATGGTTTGAAATGGCTATTCCAGCAAATGTGCAGGCAGTCCAACGCAATGACGTGGGGTCACCACAGCCCTGTGGCGGTCATTCTCTGTCTCTCTCATAAGCATCCTGAGGAGCCAAATTCACACTGGAAACGTAGATGTTTTCCACATCTCCTGCATGCTCTCTGGGGCCCTTGGGGCAGGATCCTGTTTCACCAACCCGCCGTGACATCAGTGAGAAACCATGGTCTCCTCCATCTCAACGAAAAAGCATCGATTGGTGGGGTAAAACATGAGAGAGCAGCACAGCCATCATGCTTATCAGGGATTGCGTGCTTGCATTTGGCTTCATACTGTCTGTCTATATCTGGATTAAACCAAGCTTAGACCGGCAGAGGGGCCGCCCACGACTGTGTGTGAAACTTATTTTTCCCTACTTTTTACCCCCTTCGCGTGTTAGTTTAGCTACAGCTGGCATGCGTCCTCCAGCACCGGCGTGTGAACGAGAAGCACATGTAGTTTAATAACAGGTACCAGATGATAGCCACTGTCCCTCCTCAGTCTGGTTGGGGGTGCATCTGGGCCCTATCTCACTCCCATGGCCCATCCCAGCGGACTGGAGAAATACCATCATTACTCAGTAGGCTGAGTGATTTTATCTACTGAAGGTTGGTTTCCACCCCCCCCCCCCCCATGTCTTCTGGTTGCTTATTGAAGCTTAATGCATCGTTCACTCCTCTGTTGGGAGCCAAATTCCTTCTAAAACAATGTTTATGGAGCCATAATTGAAACCAAACTGGTTTGTATGTGTGGCTTTTAGCTGATTCAGTCTCATTTGACGGCTTAATTAAAAATAAACGGCTGAATGAGTAAGGGCTCATTCAGGAATGAAGAGCAGGCAGCAGCGTCCGCAGAGCAGCTCGGAAAATTCAGCCACACTCATGCAAAAACTAAAACGGGAAGAGGAATTTAAAAAGGATTTCTAAGGATATTGGCAGATGGATGTACTTTATTGTATCATCATCTTTGTGTTAGTTGCCCCACATAGACTGAAAACCTGCTTAAAGGTGGGGAGAGGCTGGCCTGAGAGTCTTGTTGGAAATGGGCTTCCGCTGCCTGTAGCCGTGTCATAATGACGTAATGGTGTCGACATCGACTCCAGTTGGTGGATTGTAATGCAAACGTGCATTTTCATAAAACATGGCTGTGGAACATAAGTCTGTACCCAGGAGTGGCTTTGTCAGGTCATTCTGTGCATCACACTGCTGTGACTTCAACAACTTGTTAGAAAGAAAATGCCTGTTTTGTACTTGTGGTACACAGTGGAATTTTTCTGTTACTGGCTAAGAGCTCAGGTAGAAAGTTTCAGCTGCCCCACCTGTATCATGTCGCGCTTCTAGGTGGGTGCTGGCTCATGGGTGCACATGAAAGGCCACATTGTGAACAGCTGGGAGGAGCAGGAATGCCGTGCGGAATGAGAACCCCGTAAGGCACACGGAACTTCAGGGCACACATCTGACACTAGTGTCCTCTGCTACTTCCCCCGTAACAATAGGCGCAGTTAAACTCGCAGGTAAACGTTATTGACACGCGAGTTACTTCTTGTGACACGTAGTGTCCTACCTGTCCTGTGACAATGACAGGCATTACATGAATGATGGGCAGGGAAGCCAGATGGTGTAGGTGTGAGGTGAGTTTTCACGTTCAGGCTAGTTTGTGTCCGAGAGAATCCATGTAGAGGAAATCAGCCCCATGAGGGTACGAGGGCTGAGCCTGTCTTTCGGAGTGGGGATCAAGGCTGCCTCTGATGCCCTCTGATAACAGCACAGCTGGCTCTGTTTGGACCTCACAGTAACACACACTTGCTTGTGTCATGCTCATACATCTTCCCATTGAAAGACGCACACCTTCAGGTTTTCATGTATGCTCTGATCTATATGGCCCCGGAGATCGCTGCCCTGCCTTCAAATCTGTACATATCATGTCTTTACATGGTTACCGCACAACACTGCAGTATGCACAGAGCTTATTTATTGAAAATATTTCTCAGGGAATTCTCACAGATATACAATACCAGTCAAGTCTCGACACACCAGCTTTTAATGCATTTTTGTCTCTGTTTTATGTTATTCAACTTATAGTAAAAGGCCTCTAGGCAATGACCAAGTGAAGTGTACAACATCTCAAAATGTTCTCAGATTATAGACTTTTCAAAATAGCCCCCTTTGCTTTGATGGCAGAATTGCAGACTCTTGGCCTTCTTTCGATTAGCATCCATATGTAGCCACCTGGAATGCTTCTCCAACAGTCCTGAAGGAGTTTCCACAAGTTTTGGGCACAAGTTGGCTACCTTGCTCTTACTCTTCAATCCATCTCATCCCAAAGCAGCTCTACAGGGTTTAGGTCAGAGGATTGTGGGGGCCAGGTCATCTGCACTCCATCTCTTACTAAATAACCTCAAGCTGTGCTTAGGGTCGCTATGTTTTTAAAAAACAATGTTCAGTAGGTGTGTCCAGACTTCTGACTGGTACTGTATATTACTATGACCTGTGTTGTTGTCGTATTGCTTATGTATGTTGTGTCCTTACGAAGGCAGCTACTAAAATTTGCTGTATTGGTGTAAGACACTTGCACAATGACAAATAAAAATTAAATCCTTAACTGAGTTTTCACACTGCCTTCTCAACAACATGCAGCTATATTGACAAGGGCCAATGAAGGAGGTGTGTCCAGAAAGACCCGGAAGAGTCCAGTTGTTTTCCATTTGAAGTGGCCACAGCAGCTCTGCCTGCTGATTCTCCACTCTTTGCCGATGCTGAAGCACATCAATTCAGCGTTTTATCTGGAGCTGGGGTTGCATGAACTTGGATGGAATAAATGTGCACCTTTATTTTTACGTTCCCTATCATTTTATGAATGTAGGCAACAGCCCACAGTAGTATTAGCAGTACCTGTTAATCCTTCAACCATAGAAATCGGAGGTTTTCATACTGACGCATATTGGCTGCTCTGGCAGTTCAGCACTTTGATTTGGGCTTGGAGTGAGTTTCCCGAAGCCTCCTTAACGCTAAGCTAACGTTCGTTAGTTCTATCTTTTAACACAGAACTTAAGAACGACGTAGCGTTAAGAACGCTTCGGGAAACTCACCCTTGGTCTCTAATGGATTTGTGTAAGATTGTAGATGATTCACTAGGAGATAGTGATTTTATCATGTTGTTATGGCTGAAAGTTAAACCCGAGGCCAAGATATTCAGCAGATTCCATTTGAACAAGGCAGTGCCCTTTTTGGTTTGGCTGTGTCAGCTCTGTTGCCTGCCGGAATCGCGCCTTTCCTTGTAGTTTGTCCCACTTCCTGGTTTTGTTCCCTCTTGCAGACCTGTGCTCCACTCACTGAGTTCAGGAAGTCTGCTGCTTTCAGTGCTGCCCCCCCCATCTAATTACCTAAGCTGCTGTTTTTCTCTTAACAATCCGGGCTACTCATGACAGCAAGGATGAAATGTCTTTCTTGGAATCGAGCTACAGCCTTTTACCAGCTGGGGTCTTTGTCTTTGGCTGATCCCTGTATATATTCCACCCCCCTCCAGCTCACACCCCCGACAACACCTTCCTGGGTTTTGTGGTGGAGCAGCACCTGAACGCCAGCGATATACGACACATCGATGACATCAAGAGGCAGAACCAGTCCCTGGTCTATGGGAAAGTGGACAACTTCTGGAAGGTATGCTGGGGGGACAAGGGCAAACTGTATCACAGATTTAGGCAGCTTGCTCTGAATCCTCAGATCCTCAGATCAGATTTCTGTAACAAGCAGAGACTGAAAGGCTGGAACCACACGGTTCACGCACAGTTGACCTGGCAAGGAACCCAAGCATTCTGTGTGTCTCTGCTTGGGATTCGCTGTCTCTTCCCAAGAGAATGACGACCTTGTAAACAGACTGAGAAACCATCTCATGGTGAGCGAGTTACGCTGGTCCGTACGGCGCCGGCGCCCTCTGCAGGCTTTTCCGAGGTACTGTGCTAAGCGCATGCACAGGAAAAGCAGCTGGGCTGGGGATTGAGTGTGGATGTTGTTAGAAATATTGCAACACACTAACACGTGTGAATGTGTTGTCCTTGTCAGAGGTGACTTTTTCTCACGTGGGGGTAAGGAGATGGACTCTTGGGTTGTAAATTTTTCATGGACAGGGTTTATGAACAGCTGCGTGGGCTTCTGCTCCTTTTCCCAGGCCCACGTCATGTGTTTTCGAGACTCGAGACCCGGTAACTACATTCCAAGGTCAGCAGACCCCTCCCCACCTCTATTAGCAGTGAGTTATGTCATCAGCGGACACCATTTCAGGTTTCTCTGTCTGTTCGATGACCTTTTATAGCCTGTGGGGTCTTCCCCGTGCTCACGTAGAAACGTAACGCTGGCAGATCTGCGTTGGCTTGCCATGCGGTGATGTCCTCTCTCATGGAAATCTGGCATGGTGGTGAGCTCAGGGAGCTGTGCCCGAGGCTCTGTTCTGAACTTGACCCGGTTTAATTTAATCCTCCCGGTGCCGGTTCCAGGGGGGGGGGGGGGGGTGCCTAGGGTTTATCACTCAGTCATCCTATAGGGCAGGTTTGGGCTCCATTAACTGGCACACTACAGTGAAGACGATTAATCAGGTCCCCTCCAGTGCTTTTAACAGCCGTCCTTTTTCACGCTTTTTAATTAAAACCAGTGTGGGGAGATCGGACTGCTTCGGAGAGCGCCTCGGAGAATCCAGGACTGCTTTATGAACTGGGCTTGCTTGTGGATCAGCGGGGTGTGGTGATGTGCCCGTAATCAGAAGGTCGTGGGTTCACTACGGTCAGTACAGTGATGTCACCGTTGGGCCCTTGGTTCCCTTTGCCTTCAGAAATGTCTGGCCCAGCTTTTGCAAAATATGTATGATAAAAGCATGTGCCAAATAAATAAAAATGTAACCTCAGACACCAGTCAGCCATTAGGTGTAACTTTCAAGCTAGTGAAACGTGCAGGAGCCTTAAACATGTCTGTCAGTGCGTGTTAACTGAGGCGAGTGTATCTGCCCATGTGCCTTTTAATCTCTCAGAATTATTTACCAGTGCTATAGACATGCCCCTGATGAGCCACTGTCTACCGTCTGATTTACACTGGAGCGTACAGTAATTGCTCCCCCCCCCCAAACACTGCGAAGGGAGCAGGGGCTTTATGGTCAGCATTATGTGTGATGATGAAGCGTGCATGCTGTGAGGGAGCCATCTGCCTGCTGTCTGCCGTGCCCACTTAGTCACCAGCACAGGCCTGCAGTCGTTTGTGTCGCTAATGAGGAGCGCAGTGCCCCGTCTACTATGCGGGCTTTGATTGGGCCTCCTGCCGCCAGGCCAGCGAAGCACGCTAGGCTCCGTAGACAGACTGTCCTCCATACCTGGTAATGAGGCTTTGTCTATCAATCCGATTAGATGTTATTTATGACACTTTTCACATGGGACGTCGTAAAAAAGCGCGGCAAGGCTGATACCTTGGGAGGAAGATGCGTCCCCTGGCACTCGCCTCACATCGAGCGCCGCGCCGCACCCAGCCGGCGCCGCCAGGTCGCCTTTCAAGGCAGGGTCGCCATGACGACGACCGCTACGACCCAGCACAAGCAAAGGAGTTCGAGCGAGACAGTGAGGGCATCTCTGAAGGTTCCGTGCTGCGGGTTTACATCAGACGATTGCGCGCTGCGTGTCTGAAATGATAATGGCGTCTAGCAGCCATTTTTTCTTGTCAGAATCGATCCTCCCTGCTATGGTATTGACTGGCCCCCTCATTAACCATTCTTGTTAAGGCATTGTCATTTCTGTTATGACACTGAGTGATCATATCGTGGTATCGATCCTTCTCTTTGTGACAGTGACCAATTGCCCCATCTGGTCATGCTGGTAACTTATAAAGTTCTTCTTAATTCCTAGACACCCTTAAAGACACACACAGGCCCCCCCGTCTTTCCGAATTCCACACAGCCGTGTTGTGATCGCTCCACCTTTTGGCCCCTCATTGCTTTGCTGGGCCAGATCAGACTCCCAGCCCATACGGAGACTTACTCGGCCTTTTCCCCATGGTTCATCGCTGCCAGCGTGGCCTTGGCTTTGGTTTGGAGCTCTCTTGTGCGTGAAACGCGCTGATAGGCAAAGCTGTAAAACCATCCGCATCCTTTAGGCCGGGTGTAGCCCACCCTTTTATCACGCTCGTACACCGCATGTTTGAAAGTGCCTGAAACGGGCGGTGATGGTAGGCGCGTGGCGAGTGGCAGCCTGGTGCCGCACTTAGGCCTGCCCAGAGGTGGTTCCGCAGGAGCCAGAATCTCACTGCGGGGCCGGGAGCTCAGATTGGCCGTTGCTGCTGATGTGGGGTCTGTGTGCCTGTTCGTGCTCTGGGTTCCATGCGGTTTGCCTGATATCTGGTAAGACGAATAAAAAAAAAACTCCTAAATGGGCGGAGATGTGGCTCCTGTGTGCATTTGTCCTACTGCAGTAGTAGGCCTTCCTAAGTCTGTGGCCTCTCCTCCTCCCCTTGGCACCCCTGATGTGCTATCCTGTCCCTGCAGCGGCTGCCCTCATGGCCTCACTATCCCTGCATCAGCTCAAGTCTGAGCATCTGATAACATCCTAGTCCAGGACAGCAATTTGCCACGGCGTGTAATACAAGCTCCGTCTGCACGCACAGCCCTTCATCGAAAAGACACCCAGTCAGGGAGCTCTGCATGCCCCCCCCCATCAATCCCAGCATGATGGACAGAAGACAGGATACTCGTTTCGGGTGGGAGCCCTATCTGTAATCCTAAGCTCTGTTGATCAGAGGCTGTGACTCCTCTTTACACAAAAACGGGATGTGATCTGGCTTATCTGACGTTGGCAGTGGACTTTATCTCACCTGATGCAATTTAGTCTACAAAAAACCTGACAGAGGGAAACACCTGTAAGATGGAGATGCAGATAAGATGAGGATTAGTGAATCCTGGATCTGTCCGTGCCTCTGTTCTGTTGCATCCTGTTATAGAGACTGGATGGACGCAGGTGACTTATCATCACCTCACATGCTGCGGGTAAGAGTCAGCTGGGGGTCTCTGGGAGATGACAGACTGCCTCTGGTCTGCAAATCTGCGCGGCGGCCTTCAGGACACGGCCGTAACCCCTGAGTCATCTGGTCTGCATGCACTCCACATTTGCTCATTTTAAAAGAAATATGTTTACATTAGAGAAATGGTCTTTAGGGAGTTACTGTTTGCGAATGAAATGTACAGATAAGGAACAAGGAAAGGTGAAAATGGCAGCCGGAGCCTGGCTGGGCACAGTACGGCGGGTTCTGGCCCGGTGTTATGTCACTTGACCTGGCTCGAGTTTCCCGTGGTAGCAGTGCAATGCACTCAAGGTTATCGGGAAGCTGTGTGAGAGTCGAGCCCCAGGGGGCATCGTTCGGAAAAGGGGATCTCTCCATGGAGGGCTGAAGAATCCGACTAATGGAATGTCACCTGAGAAGGTCGGATCCCAGGAGGGGGACCTGGAGGGGGGGGTACAGGCAGTTAAGTGCCCAATGGCACCAGAAGTAGGGAGCTGCCAGTGAAGTGAGTCTGCCTGAGCGTTTAAATTGGTCAGATAGCTTCACTGAAGCGGCATAAACCTCAAGCCAAAATCACACCTTAGCAGTGAACAGAGTCCTCTAAGTGAATAATGTGTTTAGTCGAACAGTGATTTGTTATTATCCTGTTTATCGATTGTGCTTCATTAAAACACAAGATGTTATTACTGGAAACGCATGGTAATGGTTCTTTATAACGGACAAGAGGCTCCGATTTCCCAATCACAAGGCATTAAAGACAGGGTAGCATGTGCTAATGACGTAAAATACTGTCTGTTATATTTCATAGTTGTAGTGCACATAAAATGTGTAAAATGTCACATTTTTACACTGCATATCAAGCTAAAGTCCTGGAGGCTGTTTGTAGTAAATCCATAATCACATTCTTGAACTTCATTCAGTGGGCCGATGGAAGTCAGTTCTGCCCAATAAGGTGTTGAGTGTTTTTTTTTCTTTTATCATTTTATGCTCTGCAGCCTCATTCAACATAAAGACCTTAATGACATAATGTGGCCCGTTAATAAAGCAGCGCTGAGCACTGAGAGCCATATCCCCTGGGGGTGCTTTCACTAAATGGTACTGGTGTGTTTTTTATGAGCATCCTTGGAGGTACCTGGAAGTGTTACAGATCAGCTCATACCGCCCATCCTCTAAGCTTCACCTCCACTTGTTTTTCCGGTTGAAATTTGGTGTTTAATTATAGGCCGGCTGCTGCAGAAAATGTCTTCTCCTCGGGACCGCGATTTGACAGTGACGGGATCAGGATCGATCGGATGCCCTTCAGGCGGCAGGTAGAAACTGCCCTCCCCGAGGACAGGAGTCACACTGGTACAGCTTAGCAAGACAGCTGCATGTTGGGGATGGTTTCACCCCTGTGTCAGGTGTGGGAAACATTGGCAGCAGTTTCTCAGAGAACTTATGTTCTGTACAAGGCAGCTTTCTCCACGTCGCACATCACACGTCATTCCAAAATTTGTGCCAATTTATTTTTTTTTATTGTCTATTTGTCATGTAGTTAAAATATTAAATTGTGCTCCTTTAAAGACAGCTGGCAGCCGTTTTTGTATTCGGGAAGTCGTGGTTATTCTGGTATGCAGAACTTCTGCAAAAAGAGTTTACCCAGCAGCTAAACTGTCCGATGGTAAAGGTTCGGGCCGGGGGGGGGGTCTCTGTGCAGCACCGAGCTTCAGAACTCACAGTGTTGGCGGAGGTGTGGATGGGGCTGCAATCAGATGCTGACGGTGGAGCAGGCCTGTGTTGTTTGGAGTGGGGTGGAGTGGCCCCCAGCAACTGGCTCACGCTGTTCTTTGAGCAAGGGCTCCCAAACCCAAACTGGGGTTTCTCTGAACCTATTCTGGTACCTCGAGCATTCATACAGGCTCGACACCCCCCACCCCCACCACACACGCACAGACACACACACACACGAGAATAGCGGGGGGACCTCTGACCACGCCCCTTACCGTGTGATATGCCCTGTTTCAGGACAAGAAGGCATACTTGGACATCATCCACAGCTACATGGAGGTTCACGGCACGGTCCACGGCACCAGCACCGTCCACCTGCCCACCTACGTGAAGAACCACGGCATCCTGAGCGGCCGTGACCTGCAGTTCCTGCTCAGGGAGACCAAGGTGACTGACCCTTACTGATGTATTGATGGCTTTAGTTTGGGGCCCGTGTGTCTCTGAAGACTTAGTTCTGGTTCTGATCACGAGTCCTTTCCGACTTGGAAACGGTGAAAATACTTGGAGAGTAAGGGGGGGGAGAATGAAACCCCAACAGAAATGGGTCTCAGAGTTTGATGCCACCGGTCGAGCCAGGGAAAGAAGAGCAGACATTCCGTCCGCCTTCGAGGGACGGTGGATAACTAATTATCTCAGATGAAACGGCAGCAACTTCCACACCCGCCCTTTAGGAACAGCAGAAACAGGCAGCCCGTGAAGTCTGTCCGTCCTTGAAGCAAACAGTCACAGATTGCCGAGGCTAATTGTCCTCTTGAGGTTTGGGAGCCCAGTACAGCAGACGCGTTTGGTTAATAAAGGACATTATGAATTGCTTTCACGGCTCTTCAGAGCCCCTCTTAATGCCTTTTATAAGACAGTGCGGTCTTTCAGATGTAAGTTTTGAAAGGTATTTTATTAAAAGTCGGCATGATAATGAGCTTTTGGTGCTCAGCGGTTTCTAACTTCTCCATGTGGGAACTTTCTGCTTGCTAGACTGTGAATCTCCAGCCCTTCAGTGTTGGAGGTCGGGGTCCTGAGACTGGGGGGGTGTTAATGTTCCATGGAGTCTGTTTGCATATGCAAGAGGCTTGGCCCAGAGGAGGCCTCGCCCAGTCCAAACCACAGGGCCCTCATTTCCGTCGACCTCTCCGGCGTAACATAGCCCATCACCCCCAGCCGTCGTGTGCAACACTCCAGGCCCCTTGCAGGTCTGCCTACAAGTCCAATGGCTGTCTGCTCTCTTTAGGCCATGATGTGCCACCATGCTGCTTTGTTTGCATTTTCATCATGTGCTATGATGCTATGATCCCCTCCCCCAAGGGTGTGTCAGCATTGTGTTGTTATGAGTGTTTTTTTATCCATCAGCCCTCTGGCCTGCCAGCAGCCCCATCCCTGCGGACTCCCTGCCCCAGGTTGTTTTCCCCATGTGATCTGAAGGTCATTGTAAAGCAGCCCCTCCCCCCACTGTGTGCCCACAGAGCTCTATAAATAGCACCCTCTTCCCAAGGACTGTGTGCCCCAGGCACCAGAGGACCCTGCTCTGTCTGCACTGGGTGAGCGTGCAGACATGCCTCTGCTGCCACCTGCTGGCAGGAGACTGCCACTCCCACTTCGGGCAGATATGAGGGGTGGTGTCTGGTGTCAGAGGCGGTGATGAAGCCCTCTGTTGTTAGGGGGGGTTGGGGGCAACTGCTTACAGCAGGGTCCATTGTGAGAGGAGCCCCCTCGGGGCCGTCAGATCCACTCAGCAGCGGCCTGGACAAGCGTGTTACTGTAACATGCTGTGCAGTGCTCTGCTGCGTCACTGACTGCCTCTATCCCGGTCCGGGCCTCTGGTGTGGGTCCTGGCCGTAGGGATCTGCACCTTTAGACCAGCGACCATTTATAGAAACTCTGTATAACGGACCAGGTTGAGCCTGGCCAAGTTAGGAACCCTCCAGTAACCCAGATGGGTGTTCCTGGCACGTTTGGTTACAGACAGATCTGCTCGCGACGCTTGAAGTCATTCCTCTTTATTCGTAAATGAAGTGTAAACCTTAAAACCTCATAAAAGCACTGTGATTTCCGGGCCGCCTGTGCCAGCATTGCCGTCGCTGATTCTATGCCAGCCTCTTAATGCTGCCCGATTCTCTGCAGCTCTTCGTGGGCCTGTCCTTCCCCTACGAGGGTCCCGCACCCCTGGAGGCCATCGCCAATGGCTGCGCCTTCCTCAACCCCAAGTTCAACACCCCCAAGAGCAGCAAGAACACGGAATTCTTCAAGGGCAAGCCCACATTCCGCGAGGTGAGACCCCGCCTCTGCTGGGCTGTCCCTGGTTCCTCTGGCCCTGGGCGTCCCGCGGGGCGTCTTCGATGGGCTCAGTCTGGTACGACGCCCACGTGTAATCACGCGACTCTTGAGCGGGCCGTCGGAGGACGAGGAAAGCTTGCTTCTGGGGCGGCGCCAGAGGACAGGCCGTCCGTAAAGGTGGAAGCTCTCCGGCGGAGCTTAGCCCCTCCGATGCGAAGCGTGTCCCTGCTGGAGGACACGCAGCATCCATATGGCCGAGTCACACCAGGAATGACTCACCGCATGGTTTTTACTCTCTAATGAAAGTTACTAAGTACAGAAGCGTCTTACAGGGCTGAGTAGAGGTAGCATTTCCCTGGGGACGATCAGGGATTGATCAGTCTCTCAGCTTTGCTCTTACTGTTGCCACAGGAACATGACGCTTATCTGTCTGCTTCTCCCCCCGCCACAGCTGACCTCCCAGCACCCCTATGCGGAGGTCTACATCAGTCGGCCTCATGTGTGGACGGTCGACATCGAGAACCCAGCCGAGGTGGAGAGCGCCATCCGGTCCATCCTCAGCCAGAAGGTGTGTGGCTCGAGCCTCTAGATAGGAGTGTTGACTTGGTCCATACTGTGAATAGTAATTTTAAAAAGGTGCGACAGAGGTGCAACATCCTTAGCTGAAAGGCATTTGAAAGAAAAGTTTATAGTAATGATGTTGTAAAAAGAATGAACAGGACGGGGTCTGCAATCTCTGTGTTGCTGAAGGGAGGGGGGGCAGAGCCCACCTCTTCCTGACCCAGCTCACATTCGTTTCCACAGATCGAGCCATACCTGCCCTATGAGTTCACCTGTGAGGGGATGCTGCAGAGGGTCAATGCTTTCATCGAGAACCAGGTAGCCACCCCCCCCAGTCCCCACGAAGTTGAACTGTTGTTTGAAGCCTGATATACTGAGGAACCAGTGTCTGTATGTGTGTCAGAACCTTAACCACTGCTAAGTTTGCTTGGGTGGGGCAATATAATGACACTGCCTGACTGACTAGATGGGGCAGGTCCAGGAAGTGACACGTGGGATATAGCACCTCCGGTAGGAGGGTGTCACACCCCCAAAAACACAGATCTCTGTCAAGACAATAGTGAGTAGGTAAAGAGAAGAGGAGACATAACTATACCCCCACCCCACCCCAGGACTTCTGCCATGGACAGGTGATGTGGCCCCCACTGAGCGCGCTCCAGGTGAAGCTGGCCGGGCCGGGCAAGTCCTGCAAGCAGGTGTGTCAGGAGGCGGAGCTGATCTGCGAGCCGTCCTTCTTCCAGCACCTGAACAAGAACACAGAGCTGGCCAGGTGAGACCCCCCCGTTCACACGGGGCGGGGCAGGATGCAGCGCCATTGCCCCTTCGAATGTACAGCAGTACCCAGGAGGAAAGTTTTGTAGAACAGATTCCACTAGATGGCACAGATGAGCCACTGCAAAAACAGTGAGAGTTTATTTCCCTGGCATTAGGTATTACCCTTGTTGTTTTATTGGCTGCATATTGCCTTGTCCAGGCCAACCCAGCCTAATTTAATGGGCTGATTTATTGCCAGCGAAGTTCTGTCTGATCGTTGTCACCTACACCCCCTCCCTTATAGGTTTGGGGTGGACTGTCAGACAGTGGAGTCGCTGGACGACATAGTGGTGCCAGCCTACAACAAAGAGCAACGCCATTGCGTCTTCCAGTCGGACCTTCTGCTGTTCAGCTGCGCGGGTGCCCATCCGTCGCTCACGCGCATCTGCCCCTGCCGGGACTACATGAAGGGCCAGGTGGCGCTCTGCCAGGGCTGCCTATAGTTGCATGCTGGCTGCAGCCTAGCTTGGGGGAGCTCCCTTGAATCCTGCGCATATTTTCAGCAGCTTGCTGACCTTTATCATTTCTCCGTCTCACCATCTCGATGGCAGAAGAATACGGCAATGAGCCAAAGTGGGTGGCTAGCCGGAAGGAGTGCCGCTGGAGCTCAGAAGAGAAGCTCAGGTGAAGCAAACTCCACTCAGCCTGACATACTTGAATATACGCCTGCTTCTGTGCAAGAGAAAGAATGAGAGTGGCCCTCTATACTGCCCTCTGGCGTTCGATGGTAGTACTACAGGGATTTTTCTCCATCTGTTCCAAGACCATGGGACCAGCTGCCGGAGCAGAACCATAACTATGCCGAACACAGCTGCTTGCACAGGTTTGTTGGGATGGACCTGTGTTTCTCAGAAGGCATGGCTACTCCAATTACTACACTGTAAACGGTGCCTGTCTCTGGCCCTCAAGATCCGAATTGGGCGACTTGGCCGGAGCGATTGGTGCCAGCGCTGTAATGCATTTGTGCTTTTACTGACTTGGAGAAAAATGGATCCCCGCTGAAAGGCACAAGAGCTTCTATAGGGGAGTGGGACACTCTGTGCGATTTGCTCTGCCTGATAGAACTGCCGCTGGTTTCCTGTTTGCACAGGAAATCCAGCCAATCATAGTTTAAAAAGCAGTTAACATACCGAATATGACCAATGTCATACAAGATTTTACCAGAGGCGATTTTAAAGTCATACTGATTACCGTATTAATCAGTAACAATAGATGCACATACATGACAACTTGTGTATGAATGTATAATTATTCAGAGTAATTTTAGATCACATTGATTGCCCCCTTTTTTATTTTGGATCGTTTTGTCATTGTTTTATTTCTGCTTGCCAGTTTTAGGTAAAATACCTTTAAAGAGAAACAAATGTTTTTAGGTGCACTATATTATTGAAATGAAAATATGAGTATGATAATGTATATTATTCATAATGGGTTTTAAATTCTTTTTTATTTATTTTGTATACAAATCTTTATTGATGTTTGCAGAAAAAAAATCTTTAATTTATAAATAAGGGATTCCTTTTCTTTTTTATGATAATATTTAACGGACGGAGCGTGGTCAGATACACACGTAGGGTGGTCTCTGGTGTTCAGTGATTCTAAGGGGCCCTACAGTTTGAGGGAGACCTTTCTGTTTGGGATTGCTCTCCAGTGTACAGCATGCGGGTACGCACAGTACTCCAGTGAAGGGGTGGCTCTCTGGGGGCGGTGCCCCAGCCCCCAGTTGGCCATCTGTAAATTCCACGCCCCCGTGATCTTACCAAGGAGCCGACACCCCCGGCCACCTTGTGCCTTTCAGGTCCCAGTAAGCTTGCTTGTTGTTTCGCCTGCTGAAAGGGGTTCAGGAGTCCAGTTGTGTCAAGGTGGTGTTCGAAAAACTATAATATATAAAAGATACATCCTCTGGAGTGATTTTAGATACAATCTAATTGTGAAAGGAACTGTTTTTAAAGTGATGTGTGTCAGACAATATGGCCCACAGATATGAGAGGAGTTTTTTGAAAAATATCAGTGATTTAGGGAAGAAAACAAGCGTCTCAGAGCTGTGAACTGAAAGACTAGCTGACAGCTCATGTGTGAATGTCATCCTCGAACCCTCACCTTCAGATTATCACGTGGCACTTATGCCTTATTTATTTATTTATTGGTAACTATACAGTATGACCACAGTGCAAATGTATAGCCTTTAGTCTAATGTGTACCTCGACAGAAGGGAGAAGGGCCTCTGAAAAGCGTCCCTCCTCTCTGCGTTAGATGTTACCTTTTGAAATTAAGACTTTATGAATGGTTCTGTGCAACTGAGTTTCTGTTCAAACTATTGTTACAAGAAATTTACACGCAGGTGCTTAAAGTGCGTTTAAATACAGCTAACAGTCTGTTCAAGCAAACAGGATCAGGTTCATACTACTTTCTCTCTCTCGCGCTCCTCCCTTGGTTTTAGTGTTGCCTTCTTTATTTCAGCAGGCTGGACCTTGGCGTTTGCTTGGTTGAATAAACCTTCGGATGATGAACAGAAGCGTATGAGTTTATTTCATCCAGCTTGCGTAGGGACTGACAGGGAGTTGCGCATTATTATAACGTGCTGTTAGCTGCGACATTCAGGTGCCATCGCAGGCCCTCTGCCAACTGTCACGCATTTTCTTCATTACAACATTTGCATTTTATGTAGTTTGTTAGCTGGTTCAGGAATCTGCAGAAATGGATGATTATTCCAGAGATGGTGTATGATGAGATGCAAATACAGAAAAGACAACTTGTTTTCACTGTTTTTGATGAATAAGCAGGATAAAACTTTATTTTTAATAAACCTTTTTCTGTGACAGTCTCTGTGTTGCATGAGTGATCAATATAAATAAATGAATATATAT